TATTATTATTATTATTATTATTATTATTATTATTTTCATTGTTATTTATTACTATTATTATTTTTTATTATGAATTGTTATTATTTATGCTGTATAAATAATTGGACACTAAATTTGGTTGTATTTCAACGTTTCAACAGATCAGATATGCGTCAAAGAAAGCTTCTTTCTTTTTTTTTTTTTTTTCTTTCAGTTTTATTCTATTCTTTTTTTTTTTTAAGAAAAGGGATGGGAAGGGGTGAAAGGGGTGGGGGTGGTGGGAGAGGGGTGGAATAAGATAATAATCTTCAGAAAGAATATTCAGAACTATTGTAACCGTTGTATTTGTTTCCATTGGATTGTCAGCCAAAATTTGACAACGACAATAAAAAGTGCAGTTGACAGTAGAAAAAAAAAAAATCTACACAATTAGTCAAACATCACCATAGTTTTATTGCAAACCAAAAAGCTGTATGGAAAGCCAATGAAGCATTAAAGAACAACTGTATTCTGTTCTGTTTGACGTCCTGAAAATTCAACAATTTCAAATTTTTGCTATAACTATTAACCAAATATATAATAACAGTTAACAGAATGTTCAACAATATAAAATTCTATGCAATAATTTTGGTGTAAATTTTTTGGCTTTTTTTTTTTTTTTTTCCATTGCAGGTTAGGAAAATCTATCAAAATTTTTGTAATCCCCTATTTTAGACTACTAAAGATTATACGTATTGACTTTGAAGAAACAAAAAAAAAGCAATAATCCAAATTTTTTACACTCGGTTAATAGATCAGAAGTTTTTTTTTCGTTATCAGATGCCGAAATTCTGAGCTATTATCACCGTACATCACCTCCATTTACTATGGTCAGCATGCTGATTTTTTGCTTATAAAATTATATCACTTCAATAAACCTTATAATATACAATAAAAAAAATAAAAATAAGCAAATAAATCCCAATATTAAATGTCTGATAAACAAAAAAGAAAAATTGAAACTCAGAATTTGCATCTCCGAAATTCTTTATTTTAA